CTGGGTCAGGGACTCGTCTGCACAGGGTTTCCCAGAATGCACATCTTCACAGGAGCAGACAGCTTCAGCTCTCTCTCCTACGCTGGGAGCAGCTGGTGGGTTAGGAGAGGGGTCCTCAAACTACAACCCTTGGGCCACATGTGGCCCGCCGTGGACATTTCTCTGGCCCACCGGGTGTCTTTGCCGTTCGTTTTTTTACTTCAAAATAAGCTATATGCAGTGTGCATAGGAATTTGTTCATAGATTTATTATTCTTCTTATTATTATTATAGTCCAGCCCTCCAAGGGGTCTGAAGGACAGTGAACTGCCCCGTTTAAAAAGTTTGAGGCCCCTGGGTTAGAACCTCAGACCTTGTGGTCAGTAGCCCAGAGCGTCTGCATACAATAAAATAAAGCTCCCTACCCTGGAATCAGTTCCAACTCATGGGGACCCTGTCCGGGGTTTCCGGGGCAGTGAAATGTTATGGGGCACACAGCCTCAACTTCCTCCTACAGAGCTGCTGGCGGGTTTGAACCGCTGGACCCGTGGCTGGCCATCCAGTGCTTACTCAGCCGTACCACCAGGGCCTCAGTGCTTCGGTACCAGGGACACAGTGGGCTGGGGTGGGGGGGCATCCTATTGGACCACAGTCTTTGGAGATAAAGTGGCTGCACATTCTCTGTCGTCCCTCCCACCCAGGTGACCAGAGCGGGCCAAGTAACTAGCTTTGGGCCTGAGCCCATGGAGACTTAAACCGTGAGAACCACTTGTGCGTCGGACCCAGAGCCCTCCAGTGAAAAGCCTCAGCTAGCCTGTCGCGGGTAGGGGGGGGCGGGGGCGGGCGGAGAGCAGACGGTGCTGCCCAGCCTCGAGCCAGCTGGCAACATCGACATGCTATTGTTTTTAGGCCACTAAGTCCCGGGGCTGTGTGTTACGCAGTGGACACTGACGGACAAGACCCGCTGTGCTGCGGGGGAGGGCACGGGAGTGTGTGTGTGTCCGTGTGCGCGCGTGCCTCACCAGGCTAAGTGCCTGCGACAGCTGCAGCAGGGCGTCCTGGGCCCTCTGTTTGGTGAGCTGCAGCTTGCCCAGCGAGTGCTGGTAGGCGCGCTGGCGCAGCCGTGACGAGAGCGAGCCCAGGCGCACGAAGTAGCTCTGCTGCTGCCGCTGCTGCTGCACAGAGGCGGTGTGCACGCCGCCGCCCTCCTCCTCCAGGGCTGTGGCGATGTCGGCTGCGAGGGGCGGGAAGAAGATCCAGAGAACGTTCAGACCCTGCCCTGCCCCTGCCCCCCCACACACACACCTCCCGTCCGCACCCAACCTGGGGCAATTGTACCATTAGGGTTCAAATCCCAGCCCTGCCACTTACAAGGGGCCACAGTGGCACAGGTGCTTCAGCACTCGGCTGAGGCCCGGGCAGCCAGTGCGGAAGAAAGGCCTGGCAACCTGCTCTAGGAACCCCTGGAGGAGCTTGAGGACACCCCCCCACCCCACCCCCCGCATCCTTGATGAGCCCCAAGAACCTCAGGGAGGAATGTTACCAATAAAAAGGTGTGTTGTCACTCACACCCACTCAAAAAAACACGTGTCAGACTGGGGAGGCCAGGATTCTCTGTCACATCATTACGCTCCATTTGGTGAACTGATGTAATTCTATCCCAGGTGATAAATCCTAATCTCTGTCTAGTATCTTAAAGACTTGAAGATAAAGAAGCAGCCATCTAGCTGAGAAGCAACAAAGCCCACATGGAAGAAGCACACCAGCCTGTGCGATCACGAGGGGCTGAAGGGATCAGTTATCAGGCATCAAAGAACAAAAATTCTTATCATTGGGTGCACACCTGCATGATTCGATCAGTGAAGACAAGTGGGTGCATAAGCAAATGTGGTGAAGAAAGCTGAAGATGTCCGGCTATCAAAAGATATAGCGTCTGAGGTCTTAAAATGCTGACCTCTGTGATGTTTCTGAAGCGGGATTAGAGGTAGTGATGCCACCCGGGCAGGATGTAATCTATGGACCTAGGTCAACGCGGGTTAATTTTTTTTTTTTTTTTTTGAGATTTAAGTACACCCCAGAGTGGCATCTGTTTATTGGATCCTCAATAGAGAAGCCATCGAGGGAGGCGGGAGCCCCGAGGACAGTGGGTGGCGGAGAGGGGTACCTCGACTCAGGTGCTTATGGGGGACCTCTGGCTGCTGGGGATGGAGAAAGCCAGGGGACCATGGTGGAGGAAACATCACTTGGTGCAGGTTGGACCAAGTGCGTGGATTCTCGTTTACACAGAGAGCAAGGCCTGCTATCGCCTGGCAGAGGACACGGCTTGTGCAAAGGCCCTGGGGAAGGACCAGCCTGGTAAGGTGGAGGAACAGTGAGGAGGCTCTTTGTGGCAATCATGTAGAGGAGGTGACAGGGAGAGAGGAGGAGCGGATGAAGAAGGGTGTGCAGGTTCTTGTGGGCCGTGGGCAGGGCTTGGGCTTTTACTCAGTGAGGGGGGAGCCCTGGAGGGCTGCAGGCAGAGGAGGGACGGGTCTTGATTCAAAGGCTTACGGGCACCCACTGGCCACAAGAGTGAAGGTGGGAGTCGGGGTGATGGTGGGGCTGGGCCAGGTGGATGTGAGTACTCTGGTCCAGGTGGGCATGGTGGGGACGACAGAGGACAGAGGGTGTGATGGCAGGGGAGGAGGGATCGCCTTTAGATGTCCCAGAGAGGCCTCAAGGTAGATGTGTGGAGAAGGGACCCCAAGGGGCACTCACCCAGTTCTTTGTCGGTCATGGGCAGGTGGTTATCCATCCACTCCTCCGACCTGCCGAGCACCGTGTCTACCCCGCTCAGGACCATCTGGCCCATGCGGGACTCCATGACTGAGTGGACCCCGCTGGTCACCATGGACTTGGTCATGTCCACGCCGCTCTGCACAGTGCCCCGGGTGGCGCCCACTGCCTCTGTCACACGGCTGGCCACGGTGTCCTTGGCACTGGATACTGTGTGGGTCACCATTTCCCGGGCACCGGACACTTTGGAGGAGAGGAGCTCCTTGGTGTCTTCCAGGACCTGGGGGGCAGCAGGTGCCTGCGTCTTAGGGGCCCTTCCCCACACCCCAGCCCCCACGGAGACCAGAGGGAGGTGTTCCATCTCCCAGCGACTCCACCGCGGGACACAGAAAGTCCGCTGTCTCAGTGCACACCGTGTGCTCCGGAGCCTAACGCCCGCATCCGCCGCCGCTCGGGAGCCCGCGTGTGGGGTCACCTAGTCAGGTGGCAGCTCTGGTCGGCTGCGGGCGTCGGGGTCAGCAGCCTGTGTGTCTAGCTCGTGCTGGCCCTGGCCCGAGTCCCAGCTTGGAGGACATGCCTTCCCACACCAGGTACTGCCTGCGACCCCCGAGCTAACCCGGGGCCTGGAAGGAGCCAGCCTGGCACAGTCCAGTCATAGGCTGGACAACCTTCTGGTCACTCCGAAGGAATGCTTGCCTCCTGGGCCCGCCAGTCCCTAAAGGGACATGTCCTGGCTGCTCCTGCCCAGTCTCACGAGAATTCGCGGGAACTCTCCTCCAGTCCAAGCCCTGGTAAGAGACCGGTTCAAGTCCTGCCTCGTCATTCCCTAGCTGGGCCCCTTTGTGCATGGAGTTTGTGTCCCGGCTGGCCCGGGCTCCACGGGGTTTTCAGTGGCTGCTTTTTGGGAAGGACACTGCCGGGCCTTTCTTCCAAAGTGCCTCTGGATGATATTGAAACCTGCAACCTTTTTTTGTTTTTTGGGGGGTTCACAGCCAAGAGCTTAACTGTTTGTACCAGCCTCGGACACAAGCAGCTGTCTGGTTCTGATCCCCAAACCAGACTATCAACTCCACTAAGCCACGGCTCCCTGCTCTGGCTAGTGGCTTGGTGCACAGGGTGATGGTGAGAGATTGTGCCAACCAGGTACTCCTGGGTAAGGGGGCAGTGGAGGCCAAACCATCAACTAAGCACAGCCTGTCTGTTCACACTGCCCTGGTGTCACAGGCCTGTCTCTGGAAGAGACGGAGAGATCGAGCAGAGTCTAATCCTCCCAGATCTCGCCTGTCTGGTTTCTCCATCTCCTGCCGAGGGAGCTGGAAAGAAGGTCCTGTTACTTCAGGCGGGAGAAATGCAGAAATCCGGTAGGAGCGCCAGTGGCTCCAGGGCAAGAGTGGAGATTCCATTCCCCAGTCCTCACTCAGTCTGCAGCTAGACAACAAGCCGGGTCTCTAAGGGGGGCAATGAGACCGGGAGAGACACACAAGAAAGACAAAGGCAGAACACGCACTGCCATCGAGTAGTGACCCTGGGGGCTTCAGAGACTGTAACTCTTTATAGGTGCAGAAAGCCTCGTCTTTCTCCCACGGAGCAGCTGGTGGTTTTGAACCACTGATCCTGTGCTTAGCAGCCCAATGCATAACCACACGGCCACCAGGGCTCCAACAGTTGATACGGACTCCTTTAATAATCAACCATTGGAGATCAAGAGGGCAGCCTGGCCCAAGGGCAAAGTTCGGAAGACCAGAAGGGATAGGAGAGGAGGATGGAGGCACCCGGGAGGCACGGGAGGAAGTGGCCTGAGCGTCGCTGTGCTCTGTTACAGGGAGAGGCAAGTGTGTGCTCTGTTACAGGGAGAGGCAAGCGAGGAGATGAGACAGAACGTGCTGCGTCACTGAATGCAAAATTGCAAACCTTCACCCGATTCACGATAAAGTTTCTTTCAGGGTGCAAGCGCTTTTGAACAAGCACCGAGTCCCTGGCGTGAATGGTTAACACTCTCGGCAGCGTATGAAAGGCCTGGTGATCTGTTTCCAGTAAATACTCCTGGGGCATGGCTCTGCTGCCAACACACACAGCGGGTGTGTGTGTGTGTGGGGGGTGATGTGTCGCCATGAGTTGGGGTCCATCGGATCCCCGTCTCGGCCGCTGGGTCCCTGTCCCAGCTGAACACCCAAGGAATTTTCCGGGAGAGGAGGGGCACCCCATACCTTCTCAGGGGGCTTCTGCAGGATGGGCAGGTTCTCCTCCAGCTTGTCCAGCCCCTTGTGGGCGTACTCACTGGCAGAGGCAACTGCGGATAGGGCGAGAGAAATAGGGCGTTGCTGGATGGGGTCAGGCACCAATGGGGGGCAAGCACA